ATAGCCTAATGAGAACAAGGCAGAACAGAAGAATTGGGTGGGGGGAAGGGCAAGTTTAAGTTCCATCTGCCCAGGCTGGAAGGCTGGTGGGAAGGGAACAACCTCTGAAAAGATGAGAGGTTACAAAGTGGAAAGGGGTGACCTGGAAACAGGGTGTTTTAAAAAGAGTGGCAGAGTGGAGAATAAAGTCACAAGACTTGTTCACAAGAGGGTGCTGGGTTAAAGCCTGACCTTGAGCCACAAATCATGGAATCACACGGCTGGAAGGAATCTTAAGAGGCCATCTCGTCCACTCCCCCACCATTCAGCAGGACATTTCAACCATCCCAAACAGATGAGACTTTATCTAACTTTGAATGAAAAGCTCTGACACCAAATGGGCAGGTATTGACTACTCTGGCTTCAACTGTTTACAATGGGCAGGAAAACAATTTCTGGTATTTCATTTGAACCTGAACTGAAATGGGGAAACAATAAATGGATAGATTTTTCTTGGGAACAATAACTCCTGTGGCAGTTTAGGGACTGCTAAATTAGCACTAACTATGTAACTACTCTTAAAGAGAGAGAAAAGTTAACAACAAAACTAGGTTAGGGGATAAATGTCCCACAGTATTATATGAGTAACGGTGTGTTGTGATCATTTTTGGTAATTGTGGAGTCTTCTCTCCATGTAGGAACCTGGAGCAGAATGACACTAACAAAAACAAAACTTAGTTGTTGTTGTTGTTGTTGTTGTTTTAAAGCAATATGGCCTAGCAAATTCCAGGACTGACACTGAGGACGTAAAATAGTTCAATTCCTCTCCTAACACAAGACAATAAATTCTCACACAAATTAGAAACTGAAAAGGAAATAAAAAGGTCCTCATTTTTGATCGTGGGAATGTTACACAGGAACTCTGGCTTGGAAGGAGGAGGGGAGAACATTCCACACCTGTAGGCCTTCCCAGGAAAGGCGCCTGAGCCTGGCCCTGAACCCATCCCCTCAAGGTTATACCATGGGACTATCAGTATGAAAATAATGTTACTTTATTCTCTTAGTGGGTATATTATTTCCAGAGCTATCAACAGTAACCATAACCTGCAAGGAGGCAGCTGAGAATTCCCAGGAAACAAAGTGAAAAGCTATTTTGGGATGTGCTCATAAATGGCCTAGCCATAGTTCATCTGGATGGACAAACATGGGGCATACATGCAGAGAGAGAGAGAGAGAGAGAGAGAGAGAGAGTGTGTGTGTGTGTGTGTGTGTGTGTGTGTGTGAGAGAGAGAGAGAGAGAGAGAGAGAGAGAGAGAGAGAAAGTATCTCTGTATTAGCACGCTATTATAGTTTTAATAGATGCAGCACCGAGCAAGGGGCTTAGGAAAATAACATCACATTCTCAGATTCACCACTCAATTACATGTGAACTTGGAAAGTTAACTTAATTCTACCTCCCTATCACCAAAGCTTTAGGCTGATTTAGTCAGGCATTCAGTGAATCCAGATGTTTGGCAGTATATAGGAAACATCTGGATAATTGACTGAGTTTTCAACTGAACTCACTGAATCTTTTGGCAGCATGTCTACGTCTACACAGCCACTGATGGCTTTCTGCCTCAGTTTCTCTAACTATAAAAAGGACAAATATTATTTATCACTTACCTCCCCAAAAAACAGTGAAAATGAGATAAGGTTTAAGAGTAATAATGAGTTCTTGAAAAGATTCTGTCACAGTTTTATATCTTATATAATTCCAGATTGGATTTTTTTTCTAAGCAGTTAGACCTTAGAACATGACATCACTTTGAAATATGGGTAAATGCTATACAAAGACAACACATTATCATTATCATCAACATCATCGACATCATCATGACTTTCTTCTTTATGACTTCCCTAAAGTGTCTCACTTTCAGATCGAATCATGGCCAAAATATGAATTTTATTTAAGGACTGAAAAAATGTGTTTCAGCTATATAAAGCAACACAGATGAGAAAAAAAATCAATGTGGGTGTTTGGAGTCCAACAATTTTAACAGCTCAACTGAAACAGGTAAAACTGGTTTATCAATGAGAATTAATTGGTTGCTCAATGGTATTTGTATAGAAACTGACAATGTTCACACACTTATTCATGGCCAGAGGTAGGAAAAAGGAATTGTAATAGCGACCTTTCTCTCTATGTACATCACCCTACCTGTCAGCCGGTTTCAGCTTTTCGTGGCTGAAAGTTAGAGGAGAGGGAAACAAGGAGACAACATGGGAGAGAAAGAGAGAGAAGAGATGCATTAAAGGGATCTATAAACATACAAAACTGGGGGAGAAGAATTAGACTGGCAGAAAGTACTGGAACTCCCTTTCAAACTCAAGTCCTGCCTATCGAGAAAATCCTAAACACAGTCCTCACAACTAACTGCCATATATTAAGTGCCTGTCATGCACATGCAATTACATATATCTGTGTGCATATTTTATATATATATATATATATAAAAAATATATATACACACTGGAGTTTTTGATACCTTTACCATAATACCAATGAGAGAACTAAAGCTCAGAGAGGTTAACTGATTTACCCAAGGTTATATACCTAGTAAAATCTATAACTGAATTCAGATCCATTTGGATTCAAAGCCCATATTCTTTCTACTGTGCCCAAAGCCTTTGCTGAAAGGGCTTGCTATAAATACTTTTTAGTGACTGCCTGCTCATATAGAAGCCCACGTCTGATGCAGCTTTCCCATTTTCTAGGGTGGGGTCCGCGCACAGGTCTTCACTCTATCTTTCTTATGACTGCCCCTCCCTTGCTTGTCTTTACCTACTCAAACCCTACTCATCACTTATGGCAGATCTTAACACTTGCCCCTCTCTGCAATCTTCCCACTAGCCTAATCATGCCACCCAAAACCAATGAGCAGCACTCCTCTTCAGGCTCTGCATCACAGGCTGCCCTTTATCTTTATTTAACCACTTCCTATGCTTGTGCTTCCTCTCCCAAGGATGCTGTGAGGACAGAGGACTAGACTTCCTTTGAATCCCCAAAATCCCTGGCACCTGGCTGAGTACATAGTAGGTAATCCTTAAGGTCTGTTGACACAAGGGACCTGTTGACAATACTCCTCATTTAGGATTAGGGACACAGTGATGGAAACTGAGATTTTGGCCTCACCAGTATTGGGGTCTAACCAGTTGAACATAGCCACCTAGACACATTTGGTTTGAGATAATTTGTACCACTGTCCCCAAGTGAAGTATATCATGCCCTCAACTCAGTAGTAAGTGTTTTACATTGTTTGTGCTCTGATCCCCTCAGAGATGCATTTTGAAATCATCACACTATATCTAGCAAGGCTTCATAGAACTTAGTGAAGTTGTACTTTCACACACACACACAAAAAGGCTCAGTTAGGTAGACGCTGCCATTATCATTTGCTCAGCAGCACTATCAGCTATTTATTAAGTGCTCACTGAGTACAGAGTACTTTATTAGGCACCAGAGGAGTTTACACTCAAGCATGTCATCAATACTTTCACAATGCAATTGCAGTGAAAAAAATACTACTCTTAGAAAGCCCTTCTAAGTATTTTCTAAGCCCCACAAAAATTTCACTGCTAAAATCCATATTTTAAAGACCCACAAAAATTTCACTGCTAAAATCCATATTTTAAAAACTCATGCCAATGTCTTTGTATAAAACCTCTGTTCTTGCATAAGGATTTCAGTTCCATTAAGTTCTTCCTAAACTATAAATAGAAGTCAGTGATGCCGGAGTCCTCCCACCCATGGATCATGGGGCAGGAACACTGTCACTCTGGTATATGCCTTTTTGGTGGCATTTTTATTGTGGCCACAAAGCAATCACAAGCAGATGGTACAACTAACTTCTATTTGTGTCTTGTTACTAAACTTCTTATGAGAGGAAAAACTATGTGTACAGGTCAAGGGAATCTGTGGGTGTCTCTGTGCATGGCAGTGAGTCAGAAGCTGGCAGGGATGCAGTGAAATTGGACTTCTCCTGTCTTGCTGGTGACAGTGAAAACTGATACATTCTCATTGAAAAGCAATTTGGATACATGCATTTAAATTGCTCATATCCTTTGACCCAATAACTTTAGCATGTTAAGAAAATAAGCTAAGATCAGGATAAAGCATTATATATGAGGAGGTACCTTTATTTATGATGGCAAAAAATTTGAAGCGACCTGTATATCCAGCAAAAGCATGCAGATTAATTATGATGAATACTCAACAGAATATTATGCAGCCATAACAAATAATTAATATAAAGATTTGTGGGGACCAGGCATGGTGGCTCACACCTGTAGTCCTAGCACTTTGCGGGGCCAATGCAGTAGGATCGCTTGAGCCCAGGAGTTCGAGACCTCATCTCTACAAAAAAATTAAAAATTAGCCAGGTGTGATGGTGCATGCCTATAGTGCCAGCTACTTGGGAGGCTGAGACATGAGAATATCTTGAGCCCAGGAGGTCAAGACTGCAGTAAGTCACGATTGTGCCACTGTGCTCCAGCCTGGGCAACAGAGCAAGACCGTGTCTCAAAACAATACAATACAAAACAAAACAAAACAACAATAACAAAAAAATTTGTGACAATATGGAAAAGTGTTGCCAAGATAGTGTTAATTTTCAGAACTACAAATCACTTGTGGATTTCTGATTATGGAAAAAGTCTGTGTGAGTGTGCCTTTCTGGACAAATGTTAGACGAGAACATGTAAAAATGAAAACAGACGGGATAGAATAGTGCGATTGTGAGAAATATTTTTCCCTCTATTTTCTAAGATACCCCTCATATTGCAATATTGTCTTTATAATTTAAAAGCCGGGTGAAAAATGAAGGCCAGAAGTCCTTTTTAGCAGACAGACTATTTGAAGAAAATAATAGTGTCTTTTCTAAAAACCCAAGAATATAGTTTGAACAGTGGAAGCTGTCTCTCTCTCTCTTTCTCTCTGTCATTTCTACTTTTTATTATTATATTTTTGACGTTCCACATACCTGGTTAATGTGCTTCAATTTGTCAATAATTTGACTGACTACTGGCTCAGGGCCCTTCATTTTCAGCTCATGGAGATTGAACTGGTTTTTCATTCCATTCCTTGCCGCCTTTTGGCTGTATCTGTAAAGGTGAAGGTAAAGAAAAGGTTTGTCAAAGAAAGTCCCAAACAAAGGAAAAGCTGACTTTATTTGGCATCAACAGTCAGGCTGACCACAAGCTCATGAGACGACCTCATGGTGCAAAAGTAGACCATTCCACATAGTGTCTATTTACAGTAAGAAAACATTCATTCAACAATCAGCAATTATATTCAATATCCCTTTTCTTCCCTAGATGTTGGGGATACAACAATGAACAAGACAGACAAGGTCTGTGTGCGCTTATTGTGCTCTCAGTCTAGTGGGGAGTCTAGAAGAGTAAGGGCCAATGACAAGGCAGAGTGATTAGAGCTGTGCTGGGGGAGGTTCAAGGTCATGACAGTGAAGTACACAGAATGAACCTTCACTGTGTGTAAGCCTTCTACTCATTTGAAGGAGAAAGATTCTTCCATATTCTTTACCTCTTCCTTCCCCTCTTCTTCCTCCTCCCACTGTTTCCTGTAGGCTATGGAGCTGGGTATCTATTCAGGAGACTTTCTCAAATCACTTGCACCATAAATTACACCTGTCAGCTTCCCTCTGCGTTCTCCATGAGAGGAGAGAACACTAGCCTGAGGGAAGATTTTAACGTGCTCCTGTAGGATAAACCATAGGCTTTACTCCAGAATTGAAGTTTCAGGGTAGCAATGGACATCCTCACCATCATGAGAAGGGTAACTACTTAAAGTACTAGGCAATTCTGCTTTCCAGTGTGGGGTTTTGCCAACTTCAACTGGGACAGTGATGCACAGATGAGGTGGTTTCCTTATTGCACCCATAGTTCCAGACCTCTACATAGAATTATTCCTCATTTTGCGAAACAAAGAAAACAAGAAACAGATGTCATTTATTCCTTCTGCTTTCATCATGTGGGAATACCAGAACACCATTGCCAAAAAGGGAAAAAGGTTTTGAGCTCTTTTTTACTTGCCCCTGATCCTGATAATGGAATGCTTTCTTAAAGAAATGAAAAGATTCCCAGGGCTTTTGCTCTCTCTTTATATACTTTTTTTTTCAATTACAATAGGGTAGCCAGGGTTATAAGAGTAAATTGATATCTATAATTCATATTTTAAATTATGAAATAATAATGTTCATTGTAAACAATTCAAGAAGTACAGAAATAAACAAGGCATAAAGTAAAAGTTGCCCCATCAATCTGTTTTTCCAAGAGTGGACCATGGTCAACAGTTTGATATACATGTAGAGGTTTTCACCTACATATACTAATGGGTAATTTTAATCAAAATTGGAATGATGTTACTCATACTGATTTGCAACTTTGTATCACTTAATATATATACTTTGGACTGGACTTGTAATCTCAGCACTTTGGGAGGCCAAGGCAGGAGGATTACTTGAGCCCAGGAGTTTGCGTACAGCCTGGACAACATGGTGAAACCCCATCTCTATAAAAAATACAAAAAATTAGCCAGGCGTTTTAGTAGAGACGGGGTTTCGCCATGTTGACCAGGCTGGTCTCGAACTCCTGACTTCAGGTGATCCATCCACTTCGGCCTCCTAAAGTGCTGGGATTACAGGTGTGAGCCACCATGCCTGGCCAACTTTTTGTAGAGACGGGGTCTCCCTATGTCGCCCAGACTGGTCTCAAACACCCGGGCTCAAGTGATCCTCCCGCCTCAGCCTCCCAAAGTGCTGAGATTACAGGCATGAGCCACAGTGCTCAGCACTTTTTTCTTTTGAACTATGACTCTCACATGATTTTCACTGCCACAGGTGGGGGTCCTCTGAGGTAGTTTGTGTGTTATCTCCACAAGGTGATAGGCTGTGTTCTGGAAGGATGTTCAGGATTGAATTTCAATTTTCAGTCACTCTCACTGGATTCCCAAACCAGCCTAGTTTGGGACAAGAGATTACAAAACACTCCTTAGAAACACTAACTCATCTCAACTAAAATAGGGAGTGAATGAACCTGGCATATTAAAGTGTTAATAATGACAAACTGAAAAATATAAAATAACCACAAAATAATGAGGCAGTCTCGATGGAATGGGCACATTTACCTGTGTGCCTCATTTTATGCAATGTAGGTATTTCAAAGAAGTTGTGTGTGAAATGAATTTCTGTGATCTAAATACTCTAAACAGGTCGAAGAAGCCTTGTTATTTAAAGAAATTCTGTAAGCACATCTTTTTAACTGAAAAAGTAAGGAAAGTCCTGCTTCACAAATCATTTAGTATATTTTGCTTAAAGTGAGGCACACTTGTATTAAACTAAGGAAAAACATCAGTGAATTGTGTTCTACTGTTTACATTATGTATAATTTCCAATGAGATAAGATAATGAAAAGTGAAGATGCCTAAACTGATTTGTGTTTAATTCTGCACATAGCTCAATCTACCAACAAAGAGTTTTCATTTGGCATTTGCAAACAGATGATCATTTAGATGGCACCACCAAAGCAGCTTCAATGTTGCAACTTGAACGTCTTTAAAGAGACCACAATTTTATTTTAGGAATTAATTAGGTATCCACTTAAGGTAGGCATTAAGCATTTCTAATTCTAATTAATTGATTCTAAATGATCACTTTTTTAAAGCACAATCAAACTGTTTTGGTCCTATAAAAAATATGGTGGTTAATTGTGGCTTTAAAAAGCTGGACTACATTTTAATGCTCAAAGTAGAAGCTAAATATTTTGTAAAATGATAGTAATGCCCCAAAAAATGAAACTACATTTATGGTTTAGTGCCTCTATAATCTTGTTTATATCACCAAATACAAGTCACAACTGTCAACAACAACTACCAGCTGCCAAGTTGTTGGATGTTATGCTTGAGGAATGGGGGAAAGGAACACTTTTTGTATTTTTCTGGCTTTTGTCTCTGATAAGAAAGTGGAAACTTTGACAAAAATATTGAGTTGCAGTATTTTAATACAAAAAACAGAACTGCTTAAAATAAAACAATTAAGAAACCGAACCGCTTAAAAAAAAAAAAAAAATTGCTGGGCGTGGTGGTGCACAACTTTGGAGGCTGAAGTGTTGAGCCCAGGAGATCAAGGCTGCAGTGAGCTGTGATCACACCACTGTGCTCTAGCCTGGGTGACAGAGTGAGACCCTGTTTCAAAACAAAAACTAAAACTAAATATATACTTTGGACATATTTTCATGTTAGGACACATGGAACTGTCTTGTTCTTATTCCTCTGTATGGCTCAATAATAACTTATTTATCCAATACCTTACTGATTAACAATAATTTGTAATATTTTGTTAATATAAACAATGCTGCAGAGAACATCCTCGTATACTGATTTCACACATTTGCATTTACATCTATAAAGGATAAATTCATAGATTTGAGTCAATTTATATTTCTAATCCCAAATTATGAAGTACAAAGAATAATGAACACTACCATATTTTTGCACAGCACTTTACAAAGCAGTTTCATATCACTCAGCTCATTTGAACTTCTCAACCACACTGTGAAGTTGAGAGGTAGATAGGGCATTATCTCTTTATTACTGAAAATTGCACAACTTCAGAAGATACTAATCTCGTTCTATTAGATGTCCCCGTCCATGATACAATGTATCTGCCAATATTAAGGACATACTTTGAAAAACATGCATGCTAACAGAGGAGGTCAGGAAATCTAGTTCTGACATTCATAATTAAATGTCATCCTCTGAGAAGGAAAATATTTTGTAGCAAAGATGCTGAAGAGTACATTTGATTGCATTTCTTCTAAAATGATAGCTTAACACATTCAGATTATTTAACTTTAAAAGTTAATTCGTGAATACACAGATCACCAATCATCAAATACCAATTGCCTTTGGGGGCTGTTTTAAAGAGACATAAAGGAACATTCTTTATCTGTTGGGAATCAGCTCCCTACTAGCCTCCTCTTTTATGTTCATATAATGCGGTCTGTTTAAATATCATCCACCTTCTGATGACACTACCAACTCCATCTTCTCTTCTTTAACTCCTACTGATGCCTGAAGCAGAGACCCTATTTGCAGATAAAGAGGTAAGGTTCATTATAAATCTTCTGAAATGAACTTCAGGAATGTGTCCCTAGAGACATATCCTTGGTCTTTTTTATATCAAAGCTTGCCAGCCACTTTTATGTCCACTCCTATAAAACAAGCGTCTTCCTGAAGCTACTTATTCTCATTGGATAGTGTAAAGACATCTGCCAACTTAGCGATTTTGCCCCGTACTCCAGCTTCCAAAACTATTATAAATATTAAATCAAATTAGTCCCACAGCTGATCCTTTGTGGTCCTACTGTATTAATTCCTGCCATTCAGAAAAGTGCCCCTTTAGCTATGTATTTTTCAAAATTTCTTATCTCCCAGCCATGGATAAAGAGCCAGGACTAAACACTGCTCCCTGATCCCACAGTGACTCCATTTTTAAAAGACAGTTTTGGGTTCAAAAGCTTGCCAAACTTTTTGAAAGTTGAAATAGCATCTACTGTTCTGCTCTATCCATGTGCTATTTAAATCCTCAAAGGACTCTCGCAAATTAAGCATGGATTCTGGTTACAGAAGTGTTGGGAATAGCTGCCCTGTGTCTTAGGCCTAAAACTTGCCATTATTGCATCTACTTCACAAGGCAGTAACCAAAAGTCCTGGTCCAACTGATGCTTATAGTTGCTTAAGTTTAGTGGCACTATTTAAAAACTCTGTGTTCTTGCACTATCCTTTAGGTATCTTGGTACTTCTCCCACAGCTCTCAATACTTTTTTGCTTCTCATGTCTCTATCCTTTGCTCCTTAGCCAGACAAAATATTGAACCAAATTTTAAAAGTAATGAGTGTTAGAATGAAATACTATGAGCACATTAATAGGGCAAAGTAGATCTGTATGTGTTGATATGGCATCAAGTACGAGATACATTATAACAGATAGAAGTAGCAGCATCCGCGGTGAAAATGGGTCTACATTTGCATTACTCTTATACACTCTATACATGTTCAAATATGCCCAGAAAAATTTTAGATAGATA